ATATACGAGCTCCGCGCCTAGCCAGCGTTGACGAGGCACTGCACGCCTCAGCTACAGGCCAGAATAATGCCCCGCTTGAGAGCCGACAAGTATTCCCAGAAGATGGAGCCACGATGTCGTATGATCGATAAACATGCATGCTGTAGTACTGGTACGCACGCGGTAGGTGTATACGTGGGCGCATGCACCAGTAATATCGGCCAAGCGATACGGGCATACGGGGTTACAGCGCATGCACCAGTCTCAACCAATCACGACCAAGTTCATCGCAGTAGCAGCAGCAGCAGCAGTAGGAGAAGCGCCAAATATATAAATATATATATACAGACAGCTCAACAAACAAGGATAAGCACACACACACACACACATGCACCCACACACGCACACACGCACACAGACACATAGTCTGTAAAGCAGGGATGTATACACACACATATATGCCAGCTCAAAAAGCAAGAACGTGCACATACACATATATAACAGCTTGTATAGTATGGAAACACGTTCACATACTTTCATGGCATACATATACCATACAGTAAAGCATGAATATGAATATGCACACACCTGTCCTGACGTATTATGTATCAGCATGAAAAGGTGAGAAATTGCATCGCCATGTAGTTGGATCTCAATGCGATGTGATATATGCAACTACTTGCGTACTACATTCACCCCAAAATTGGTTATGACCAGTGGCACCAGCACATTAGCTGAAGCCCATCATAACAGAATTAACATAGATATAATCTAGATAGACGTCTGACAGTAGCACAGGATCAAGAAAAAATCATACAATACCTTCAGTGCTATTCTGTGTGTGATCACGGGATGGGCGAAGGTCAAACAATGTTTTGTTTCGACCCTGACCCAAATACCAGATGAATTTATTGCTGTTTGGTGTTGGGTCCCAGTTACAGATGTCTCCTTCTTTTGTGCCCATATCGCCCTTGCCAAATGTGCAGTACTCTTTTGCTGCATAAGTGAATGCCAGTAATTATAATAGATGTACTCTGAGTATTTCCAAGAAAAATCTGCAATTTTAATGTGCCAGCTTTTCACAAGCTTATTACGAGTATAGAAACCGTATGCTGGAAGAGGGATCCATGGCTATTCTACACTTTCAGTAACACAAATAAATGCTGATTTATATTTCCACCTTCCTGTCCAATAAAATCAACATTCTATTATGTACACTTTTGCAGGAAATAGAGCATGGAAAGTGTCGGATTTGTATGCTGTTGATGCTGATAATTTTGAAGTGCCACTTAGTAGAGATTGCCCAACTAATGTAGGAAAGACGTATTAGGTACAAGTATAGGTAAGAGCAACAGTACCTGCACGTAAAGGAAAAAAAAACACAAAAAGAGCCAAAAATATACGAATAAAAATGAAAAAATACCCGGATAAAATACATCAAATAAAAAAAAAGAATAATAAATAAATAAATAAATAAATAAATAAAGACTCGTGAGCATGCGGTCACGTACTGCACTCTTGTTCGTCGCTCTCGTCCATGCAGTCAGGGACAAAGTCGCACACTTTACCCGCCGGGACGCACACAGTCCCGCGGTCGCACACAAACTCGTCTGGGCGGCAGTTGTCCGTATACGGCGTCGTCGGCTGCGTCGTGTGATGTGTCGTCGTCGGCGACGGCGGCAGGGTCGTGCCGGGGTCCGCCTTCACGCAGCCTGGCGTGAAGCTTACATCGTCGATGGCGATGTCACCCTCCTGGTAGTTACCAGTCACAGCCTCGATCACGAGCTGCATGTCAAGCGAATTAACATGTGAAAGAAGGCAAGGTTATCACTAACAAGTGCCGCAGAGCGACAGCGCTCATCTAACGTCTACTGCGGTGACTCTGTGGTGGAGTGGTGGGATTCTAGTAAACCCTGTTAGTCCTGAGAGAGAGAGAGAGAGAGAGAGAGAGAGAGAGAGAGAGAGAGAGAGAGAGAGAGAGAAATCAGGTTAAGTCTAGTAATGCTTTTCTAGTTACTTTTAATTTTTATGATTTTTATTAAGTTTAAATAGGGCCACTGATGGAAACTCAGCACTATCCACGGCTAAAACACTTCCTTATAGTATATGCTTCTATGCGTGGTCATATGCACATTCTTTACACGCCATACACACAGTGCCCTCTATGAATTTATATCGTAGCAATACAACATTACCTACGCGTGACTGTTGATGTCGTAAATAGCACCCTCTAAAAGCAATTAAGTGCCCAGTCGCATTACTATTAGAGGTGACACCAACACTTATCACTGCAGTATAGTCAGCGAGACACGAGAAACAACACAGGAGGACTTCACAAAATTTCGCATTCATTTAATAGCATTTACAAAAACATGACCATCAAGAAACTGAACAAAAAGAAAAAAAAATGGCTCCCCCCCCCCTGAGAACCTAGTTCAATGCATGAGGTCCACTAAAGAGGTAGCCACGATCCAATTACCATTTATTTAGAAAACTATAATACACGCACCTATGCTGATTGCACTGTTGGAGCTGCTGCCTCTCTTTACTCGTATGCCTATAGCACGGCTGTGCAGCATTCCCAGGAACACCCGTGCCTTCTTCCATGTATTGGCTATGTACAGAAATGCCACACCATTATTTATATTAATACAACTACTCAGTTTTGATTGAAAGAACGTCTAGCGGGTGTTGAAAACAATTACCAAGCACACAGTGACATGTAGAAACGCAGTACGCATATATAGATAAACTTGTATAATCAGAAGTGGACAAGTGTGATATCCTCATCCACTACTCCTAATACGATACACAGTGACACACACGCGTGCACACGCCCACGCACTCACACGCACGCACGTACACACGTGAGCACACACGCACGCACGCACGCACGCACGCACGCACGCACGCACACACACACACACACACACACGCGTGTTTGTGGCTATAACATATATTAGCATGTTGGCTATACAAAATATTCACATTAAATAATCACATTAATATATACACATGGCTACGCTTATACGATTAAGCATGACATTTAATCTTTAATATATAGTAGGAACATGATCTTCTTATGATTACCTATGTATTTTTCTGGAAAGTATTGTGCATATTCTTCATGTCTTTAAACTCGAAAGCAACTTGAACGCAGATCATCCAAACTGACATCTCACTATTTAACAGATCTGCACCACAGTTATCTAACACAGGGATGCACTCGCAGTTATCTAACACAGGGATGCACTCACAGTTATCACTGCTGGTCAGCATCAGCACGGCATCCTCGGTGCCGTTGGCATGGTAACGCAGCACCTGCAGCGAGCTGGAAGTGCCTACCATGTGATACCACATCTCCAGCTCACATTGCGGCGCCGACATCCGTATCGGTCGGCTGCGCAGGTCAGCTACTGTGTTCTGTACACCGAAGCTACTGTCAGCGTAGAGATACCAGCCTGCAAGAATAAGTACACACACACATACATAATGTGCCACTTTTCACAAGTCTTAATACGAGTATAGAACACCGTATAGCTGTGACAGAGGGATCCATGGCGTACTTCTACACTTTCGAGTAACACAAATAAATCTGATTTATATTTCCACCTTCCTTGTCCAATAAAATGCAGCATTCTCATTATGTTACACTATTTGCACGGAAATAGAGCCATGGTAAAGGGTGCGGATTTGTATCTGCTGTTCGACTGCTGATACATTTCTGAAGTGGCCACTTAGTAGAGCATTCGCCAGCACTAATTCAGGAAAACGTATAGGTCAATATTAGGTAAGAGCAACAGTACCTGCACGCTAAATGGAAAAAAAACACACAAAAGAGCCTAAAAATATCACGAATAAAAATGAAAAAAATATCCTCGGAAAAATACTATCAAATAAAAAAAAGAAGTAAAGCATCAATAATAAATACAACTAAATAAATCAAGACTCGTGAGCCATCGCGTCACGTAACTGCAACTCTTGTTCGTTGCTCTCGTCCATGCAGTCAGGGACAAAGTCGCACACTTTACTCCGCCGGGACGCACTACAGTTCCCCGCCTGCCTTCAGCACACAATACTCGGTCTGGGGCAGTTGTTCGTATACGGCCGTCGTGCGCTGCGTCGTGTGAGCAAAGGTGTCGGTCGTCGCCCGTTGTAAACTGGCGACCGGACGCAGTTGGTTCTGTGCCGGCGTTGGTCCCGCCCTTCACCAGCCCTGGCGTTGAAGCCTTACATCGTGCGATGGCTCATTCACGCTCCTGGTAGTTACAGGTCACAGCCTCGATCGCGAGCTGCATGGTCAAGCGAATTAACATGTAGAAAGAAGGCAAGGTTATCACTAAGACAAGCTGCCGCAGAGCGACAGCGCTCATCTAACGTCTACTGCGGTGAGCTCTGTCGCTGGAGTGGTGGGGACTTGCTAGTAAACCCTGTAGTCCCAAATGTGTTCACATACACAGCCCAACATCAGTGGAATGCAACAGGATGGTATCAGGAACCTTGCTTCAAAGACATGATTCGTGCGGATCGTTATAGAACCTAATTGGCACCGAGATGCGCGCGTACGTTTAAGTGTCTTCAGATTAAGATGGAAGCTCCATCATACGTATGTAGCAAACAACCTACTGCAAGACAGAAAGGTAAGTACACTCATCCATTTACGCTACGCAATGCCTACAGGCTGCCAAATAGAGAGCTGCTCACCTGTAACCAATTAACGCAGGCAAAAATCCTACAGATACCACAAACTACATGCACTGCGTAGCCATGTCAGTGGCATACGTTAGCATGTAACATTACTTGACTAGTACAGCAATGCATAAGAAATTGATATGCATTTAAGGGACATAAACCTTCTTTAACCAATTTAGCTTCTGAAATTTCACTGTGACATTGTAGCCCTCATACATCAGGCATGTATTAGATTCTACTAGCAAACCCGGCCAGTCAAATTCTTTCTAAACAAACAATGCAAAAATCTAGGTTTAACCTCTCTTGAGGGTGCAAAAGCGTTAATCTGACACTGTACTCTTCGCACATGTCGACAGAAAAGTAATTTCATGGTCCTTTCAAAATTGCCATAAAAAATGCTATGGTCCCGACTGAAAAAAAAAGTTTTCCAATCGCTTCTGTCGCACCATGCCCTCAGAAATGTTTAAAATCTGCCCTGTGGCCATTGACGTTTGACTGTGACCTCTCAATTTCTGGCAGCAGCTGATGCGCTTTTTCCTCGCTATGATGCTCTATACACTCGACTTATCACGAGCCTAGGTCGAGAAGTTTAGATTTGGCCGCAATTCTGCATGTTCCTCCCTATACGCTTAAGTTAAGGAGTGAGATGTTCCCCCTTCTTTTACACTCTCCTTGACCTTTTGACCTTGACATTATTGACGCCCAGCTTCGACATCCCAACCTCGTTTTCGATACCCCCCAGTCCCGAATATCGTGACCATAGTCGAGCGTGATAAGATTTTGTGCCCATCTGTT